TGCTGGCTTGTTTAAAAGTTGTAGGGCTGAAGCTTATGGCGTAAAATGGTTGCTCTGAACATGAGACAGGACAACCAGGAGTTCAGGCCCAGACAGAATGGGTTTGTGGAAGACAGGTCCTGCCTGACCAACAAATGTCCTTGTACAGCAAGGTGACACAACTAGAGAACAAGGAAAAGGCTGTGGATATCATCTCCCTAGACTTCAGCATAGCCTTTGGCACCATCCCCCACAGAATTCTCCTGGAGAAACTGTCAGCTCATGGTGGCTAAGGAACCACGGTTGGATGGCTGGGACCAAAAAAGCTGTGGTGTAGTTAAATCCAGCTGGCAGCTGGTCACTGGTGGTGTTCCCCAGGGGTCAGTACTTGGACTAGCCCTGTTCAATGTCTTCATCAGCTACCTGGATGAGAGCATAAGCTCCACACTCATCGGGTTCACAGACGACACCAAGCTGAGCAGGAGTGTTGATCTGCAGGGCAGGAAGACTCTGCAGAGGGATAAGGACAGCCTGGATTGATGGACTGTGGCAAATTGCATGAGGTTCCACAAGACCAAGCACAGAGTGCTTTTTGGGTCACAACACCCCAGGCAGTGTTGCAGGTTGGAACAGAGCATCTGGAAAGCTGCCTGGCAGAAAAGGACCTGGGGGTGCTGGTCAACAGCAGCTGAACATGAGCCAGGGTGTGCCCAGGTGGCCGAGAAGGCCAATGGCAGCCTTGCTTGGATCAGCAATAGTGTGGCCAGCAGGAGCAGGGCAGAGACTGCCCCTCTGTGTTTGGCAATGGTGAGGCCACACCTGGTCATGTGCCTGGGCCTCTCACAACAAGAAAAACATTGAGGTGCTGGTATTGCCAAATTTTTGGAACTCTGACATTTTAGGAACACAGAGATATTGCTTATTGTAGTGAGGAGTAAGTTTTCCTACAAATCAAGCACAACAAGGAGTAAAAACCAAGAGAATTTATGTACAAAATTTTACATAAACCCACCTATCTAATACCTAGTTGCCAGCTACCTCGTGCATAGTCATTTAGTTTGCACAGCCTTATGATGTGTCACACCTGCATGGGCCTCTTCGGGGGTCTCTAGTGGTCACTCTTGGTCATTTGGGGAGGTATCCCCTACAGAGTTTTGAGCAAAGCTCAGCTCAGGTCCAGTAGAACAATGGTATTAATGGTCTTTTCCAACTTTAATGATTCTATTATTCTGTAGGGACAACCAGGCATGCACATGCAGTCAGAGCCTCAGCATGGACTTGGGAAAGACACACTGAATCTTCTCCAAGATGCTAATACTTTGTAACCCTTTTCCCATAATGATCTCACCACTACCCATACCAGCAATATTTGTTCATGTAGACATTTCTCTCTCAAGTCAATTTAACCACACTGGCTATACTAGGCCTGCTATTGTAACTCTCACCAGTCTCTAAAAATTTATCTCTGAAAATTTATAAATTTTTATACATAATTTAGAATTACCATGATATCCTAGAAATGCTTTGTAGCCTCTGCCAATGAGTTTTCTAAAGACACCTGAATGTTTTTCTATCTTGATCACAGGAATGTGACTGCAGTGTTTCTGCCCAGCACATTTTTGTTGCATTCTATGAATTTGTGTCTGCATCCGATTATTTTCAAACAGTGAGATATCTAGAGAAGAGGGAACTCCAAAATGAGCCAGGAAAATGGCTCATTTCCAGCAGGTTGTATGATACATCTGACTTCTCCAGACACTTGGTATCAGGCCACAAGTGCTAGAGGCAGAACACCGTTGCCTCTGAAAGATACGGCTCTGTCCTCTGCCAGGACTGTACCTCCACTGCGTTGATTTCTGCTATTCTATCACGTCATGAAATTAATTTTGATTACAAGGAAGGCAGACAACAAGGGAAAACAGATCCATCTTTCGGCTTCATATCTGCATAACCCAAACATTTGGCTTGGAAAAGGACTGAGCAAAATGAGGCAGAAGGTCAAGAGCACCAGAGCTACTAGCCTGTGAAACTGCACACACAGATTTAGATCCTCTTGTATACAATTGCCTTGTACATTTCCAGCTATAATTGTCTTTTCTAATAATCAGCACCACTGTATTTCTGGTTAGCTTCATTCTCTCTTTCTACAGCAGCAATTCATTCTTTCCTCTTCCACTCTGGCAGGAGACTGATTGTGTTTTCGGGAATGAAGCAGTAATACGCCGAAGTTGTGGTCTCTCACTTCATAAACATCTCTTCAGTGTCCCCAAGATTACTTCATAAAAACAAGCACAGCTTTTTCTGTATACCTTTTTAAACAATTTTTATATTTTAATTGATAATTAGATGCAAAATTAATTAAGTTCATTGCTACTATATATTCAACATGGTGATGGTGAAGGAACAATCTAGCAGTTCCTCTTCAATTTCACTACTGTGTACAGAAAATCAGCATACTACTTCTATCATGCTGTTCTGGTTTCAGCTGGGATAGAGTTAATTTCTTCTCAGTAGCCGTAACAGTGCTGTGTGTTGGATGAGAATAGTGTTGATAACATACTGATGTTTTGGTTTTTGCTAAGTCTTGTTAATCCAAAGTCAAGGACTTTTTGTTTCCTCCTTTTCTCATGCTCTCCCCTACTGGGAGGGAGCATAGCAGGGACAGATGATTGAAACTGATCACAGGGATATTCCACGCCATAGAATGTCCTGCCCAGTACCTAAACTGGTGATTGATAACTGGAGTAATCAATCTGAGTTTGAGAAGGGGCCTCTTGTGTCAGACAGTGGGTGGTAAGCAATTGCATTGTGCATCACTTGCTTTTTTCCCTTTTTGTTATCACTGTTGTATTATTTTATTTTATTTTCAATTATCAAATTGTTCTTATCTCAACATACAAATTTTAATTCAGCTCTCCTTCCTACCACTCTAAACTGTCCACCTTTCAGGCAGATCTCTGGGTAACATTCTCAATTTTTTATCTGGTGTTAAAGAAGACTTGAGCCATTGGCAACAACGTGCTGGCTCCTAGTAAAAAGACAAGTTGGTTTTTTTTTGAGTTTCAAAAATAATCAAAGGATATTCAAAATCCTAAAAATTCTTGACTACTATAACCATCCTGGAGGGCTAGAAAGGAAAAAAGGAGAGAGTAAAAAAAATGAAGGTGTCCCCACTTAGGTTGTTCCTCTGAGGAGAAAAATACAAAGATAATTAATCATTCACGGTAGAGAATAGAGGTGCCTGCAATGCTAAATACGTACACCTGACTGGTGTCCTGGCCAGAGGCACTGTCATATCATAGTCCCATCCTACAAAATACACCACAGAGATCAAGTACTGCAAGTATGGCTGGTACAGTACAAACAAAATGTTACAAATATGAGAGGAAATAAGTCCACATTGTAACTAGCAACTGTTAAACTACTACAATTAATGTTTATAACAGTTTTCTTTTAACAAACTTTGGTCAGACCTGTTCTTTTATCAACCTTTTGGGTCCATGCCAAAAGGACTGTTGTGGTTTAAGGCCAGATGGAAATTAACCACTTGCTCAACTCCACCCCCTCTTCTCCACCTCCAACCCTGTACAATGGGGAGAATGATCCGAGTAAAATTTGTATGTCGAAATGAGAACAGCTTAAAAATTGAAAATAAAGTAAAATACAATAATAATGGGAAATAATAATACTGATAATAAAAAGAAAACAAAAAAGTTATCTACAATGCAATTGCTCACCACTTGCTGAATGATATTCTAACTCCAGAACACAGCAGTGTAACAGCCACTGAAAAGAAATTAACTCTACCCTAGCTTTTACCAGAACAGCTGAATAGTTTGGAGTGTCAGGGTGTGTGGGATTTTATGAGCAAGTACATAGGGCAGTGGGCACCTTCAAGATGTTCCTGCCTTACCCCTGAGCAAGTACAGAATCCAGAAAAACTAGTAAACTACTTCTTAAAAGTGTGCTGTCACCCTGACAGCCCAGAGAGGATCTAGACCACTGCAACATGTTGTGGCCTGGCCCAGGCTTATTAAGCTGTGGTCAACTCTGCTTAGTATTGTCAGGGGGAAAAGAAGATCTCTGAATCTGACAATGAGATGAAAATTGGGCGTGCAGCTGCTCCAGCCACTGAGAGACACTGCAGCTGCTCCAATCCCAGTGACAGGAAC